TTGAAGTGAATAAAGATAATTTATATTTAAATGGAGAATAATGAATATTAAAAAAAAAAAATTATAACGACTAGAGCAGATCTTTGCTATTTAAGAATATCAAGCAACATTGGTTGATTGTTTAATGTAAATTTTCAATACTAAAATAAACTGAATAAAAAACAAAAAATTAAACTGAACTTAAACTTTTGTTGTTGTTTTTCGAGCATATTTACTAATGTTTTACTGCTTATCTAAGCGCTTAAAATTGCTTTTTTCTAGCTTATTTTCTTCTGGTTATCACCATTGAATTATTAGCTATCTCAGCTTTTTTGATGAAAACTATATTTTTGTTGAAAAATCTAAGCATTGTCTCATTTACATAAGCTTTCAGCACTGAGATATTAAACTTAACCAAGAGAAACGCAGTTTTTACCTTAAAAACTTTCCTAGGCCAGGCTTTGTAAAATTTTGTTTCGTTCCATATGTATTGATCACCACGGCAGGTCTTTTAGGGCCGTTTTCACGATCTCTGGTTAACTCTAACGTCTAGTTAAACATCTTTACCGACATTATAGACCCCCTGAGTTAACCAGAGATCGTGAAAATGGCCCATAGACATTCAAGCATTTCGAAAATAATAAAAAATATTGCTCTGATGTAATTAAAAACGTATTAAACAAATAAGACACGATTTGTTTTTGATTTTTATTATGCAATTATTAACCGTTACGTTTTCCGAAAATAATTCAATTACAAAAAAAAAAAAATTATAACGACTTGCACGGAAGAAAACGTTTTCGACTTAAAGAGTGAAAAATGCGAGTCTTCATAATTGTTTGTATTTTCTAAATTATATTTATTCATTAATTTTGGGTTTTTTGTTTATAATTTATTGCTGCATTTGTTTGTATTTTTTGTTTTCGTTTAGCTTGATATTTGTATTTGTATGTTTTTTGTTTTCAATTAAATGTATTTATTATTTATGCTTAATTGTATATTAATTGCCAAATATTAAATAATTAAAGATAATTTATTATGTATTTAATTAACGTAACATATGAAATAACTGTTCTTTTTTTACAAGCGTACAATATCTATGTGCCAGGACACATGCATATACTCGTACGCATATGTATGTAAGTGTGACACTTTTCGCACAGCGTTAGTACTCAAATGCGAAATCTAAGAAAAAAAAACTTTATAAATAATAACTCCGCTAAAAATTGATTGATGTAATATAGTCAAAGTGTAACATTTCTTTATTATATGTACTATGCATGTATGTATGTATGTATATATGTAAATATATTCAATCTATTCTTATTCAATTGAGTATGTTGGCGTATGCTTGAATGCATATACATACATACATACATACATATTTACATATATACTGCCTGCGGGTATGTACAAAAATGTAGATTGATTCACTTTATCTTTTTTTTTTTGCTAAGCAATTGTAAAATTGAGTATGCTGCGGTCGTGCGTTTTCGTTATTTTCGGCGCTTTTCGCATGCACATGCAATGTTTTTCCGCTTTCTTAGATCCTTCACGAACTTGTTCTTCTACAAGGAGCGCATGCAAATTTAGAGCAGCAAAGTATAATACAGATACATTTTGTAGAGCTTGCACCTATCGTGCTCGATTCGTAAAAAATGAAATTGAGAGAGAGAAATACAACAGAAACAACTTTTTGACTCCCAGCAGTCAGATAGTACATTTTTCATCGATGGACGACGAAAAAAGAACACAGCACTACACTGATTGCGCGACAACTTGTTTTTTTTTGTTTTGTTATTTAATCTTTCATTTTAGTTTTTAACTTAATTTTACTTTCGATTCGAGTTTTTCGTACTGCTACATTACACGTGGTATGTACATACATACAGCAAAATCCAGGCGCCCAAAATAAGTTAATTTTTAAGAGGAGGCATTTTGAGAGTTGAGTGACGCCGCATACTTTCAGAGAAAAGCGCGAATATTATTTTTGTTTTTGGTTAAATTTGTTTATGTTTTTGATGTGGTGCTTAATAAATAACTACTAACAACGACTTTAGCCACTTAAATAACAAACATATACACATACATACATATATGTATGTTTGTAGGTTGTAATGACTAGGGTAGAGTTTTTAAACGAATTAATTAAGTGTTTTCTTTGATTTTTTTTTTTTAATAAAATTTCGATAAACATGCTCTCAATTGGACGCTTTAAGTTTTAAGATATATCACTAAAATTATGTATTATGCCAAGTTCTTTCGCGCGCGCCAATAGTGTTGATCTTATGTAGTAGAATTCATCAAAATTGTCTATGTGTTCCATTGTTCATAATTGTTTAGGTTTATTTTTGCAAAAAATCAATTTCAAATACTTTACCAATTAATCTTTAATTATTGTATGTACAATCGAATGCATTCACCGGCTTTATTATTAATAAGCCACCTAGAGAATTTTGTGAAATTCGTTAACTGAAACGTTTATACTTTTTTAAAAATCAATAAATCAATTTAATTTAAATCAAATCAATTGGTGGCCGTTAACAGTGTGTGTCTGTATGTGTTGGAAGGGAGAGACGTGCGCGCTTTAGCAAGTATGGCAGCCGATAATTATATTGTTTGCATGCATATAGAATGTATGTATATGCATGTAGGAGGGGCGGGGGCTATGTGTTAGTGAGGGGAAGGGAGGAAGTAGGAATTACACGCATATTATTTAGGGTAAAGTATAATATAATACCTTAGCCTAAACTTTCGTATCTTGTTTGTTCTTGCAATATAATTGGTTATGCTTAAATTTTTCTGTTTTATTATTATTATTATTATTATATTAATATCTGCTTTTCTCTTATACTGCTTTGCTTATATAGTTTCTCTCACTTATACTCTTTTGACTCAATTCAGCCAACCGCTGCTGCTGCTGCTGCTGCTGCTGCTACTGCTGCTCCACTTACTACTTGTCTACTAAATCATATACATTATATATTCAGCGACATTCATTTATTTACATCTGTTGCCGATCTACGTCGATTTGCCGCTTGTTGTTGTTGTTGCTGCTTAGCTGCCTTGGCTATTGCCGAAATAAGTTGTTGATTTAGATTGGCATTACCCGTTGTTGTTACGGTGCGTCCTGCAAGTTGTATGTGTTGTTGTTGTTGTTGCGCCTGCTGTGCCGCTTGCGCTGTGGCTACATGCTGTCCTATAATAACCGTTTGCTGTTGTTGCTGCTGCTGCGCTTGATGTGGCGTTTGCGTTTGGGATGTAGATGTCGCCGTCACTTGATTTATTATACGGGCATGTTGTTGTTGTTGTTGCTGCTGCTGTGGCGTTTTTATCGTCTTTAACTGCAATTTTTGCGTCGACATCACAATGGGTGTGGCAGTTAAATTAGTTGTTGTTGTAATTGTGTTTGCATTCGATGCTTAAGAACGTAAGGGAGAGAGAGTAGAAAATAATCGGGATTAGAAACAAATTTCGAAAAACGTTTGTACATATGTATGTATGTATGTATTTTCTAATAACAAAAAAATAGTTCTGCACCAAAAAATTGTTTTATAGCCAACGCGGCTATGTACTAGTGCACTGCACGAGCATTTTCGTATTGAACGATTGCTTTGTCTTAGGTTCACTGAAGCCATTCTAAAAGGCCTATCCAAGAAGGTATGAAGAAAGTGCTTCCCTGCATACATTTTAGAAGGGATTTTTTATTTAAAATTTATGTGAAAGTATGCAGCCCAATTCTGAATACTCCCGGGGAATTTGTGCTGCAAAAAATTTGTTTCTCCCGAGCAATAAATCCTCAAATAATTAACTCCCAGGGAATAGCATTTTCCCGAAAACTTGGGAGGAGGAAACTCGAACTTCGAAAGAGCTTTTTGACACTTTTTTGGCAGCTCAACTCCGCCATTTAAAATAAAAAATCCAAAGGGAGTGAATAAAAACTCATGATAGGAGGAAAGGGAAAAAAAGAAAAACTCCCGGGGAGTTTCTGTTCAGAATCGGACTGATAAGGTTATGTTAGTTAGCATTACAAATGAATTTAAAAATGCAAACATTCCAAGGCAGAAAAACATGATGAAAATATCCTAATACTTTTGAAGCACGAGTTATTCCACGGAGACTCTGATTTCGGCCAAGCACAATGCAGTGAATAGCATGCGGAACGAGCTGAATTGCAAAGCGTACCTTTGAAGGGTTCCATTTCCCTTTCATAAACAAAGTTAAAAATTTTAGAGTAAAATCAAGGCGAATTTATATAAGGTGGTGTTACTAGCTCAGCTGATTTTGTGTATGTGTTTCGCCGCACGGCTTCTGATATCAAATTGAAAAATTTTGTTTGAATTTCTACACACACTCTTACAGATTTTGACAGTTTACGCCACCAAAGCAAAAACAAAATACATGTAAATTTTTGTTTTTGTACTTCTGCTATCACCTTATATTAATTCGCCTTGAGTAAAATGTAAAGAAAATGACAATTCAAAGACGAGATTCTCAAAAAAAAGGAAAATCAGCTGCTCTACTACTGCAATATGCTTTGCTCCATACAAAATATTCATCGTGAGATGCGTTGAAAATACCTTTGAAAAGCTTAATACTAGTGAAATTTCTTTTAGAAATTTGAACAATAATCATTAACGTCTAACTTCGATTCATATCTACTCACAAATACCCAGTTTTTCAACGCCATTTACATATGTGCTTCTTGATTCGAATCACAAGCGTCCATATTAAAATAAAAACTAGTACTAGTTCATAGGCATGTCATTTTTATGAGCTGCTAGGGCGCCAAAATACCGAATATGGGACAAATATGGGACAATAAAAGAAATACAGAACTTTTGGCGTCCCGTATGGAATAAATAAATTACTAGAACAATTGACGAAAAAAGAGCACACTAACATATGTGTAAGCACCAATCTATTATTATTATTATTATTATTAATTGTCAACATTTTTTTTATCTCGAACGCTTGATGAAGGGAGAGTCGCCCAATTTTTCGCATAGAACGTGATGCTCTTTCATAAAAAGTAACACTGCCGCATTAATTGCAGCTCGAATACAACCATATTGCTAGCGAATTAAAGTTTTGAGGACTTAAATTCACGTTTCGTTTTTTGTATATTGTAAAATTTGTAACAATAAAATACTTTTTTCGCAAAATCTATAAAGGACCCTTTTATTTCTCAAAAAAAAACCTGGGTAACAGTTATTCGTCGCCACGCTGTAAATATGTAGATCTAATTGGGCACCCTCAAATGTGTTCGCATTTTTTGTTAACGTTTGCAAAGTGCTCTTTTTTTTGATGACCTGTAAAATATTTCAGTTCTATTAATTATTTTACGTAGTTGTATTAAGAGTTACATGGTTTAGTTAATTTTAGTACTTTATGCGTCGAAAGTGAGCAATTGTTCGGTGTAGCCGGCCTTATGTACGAATCTCTAAGAATTCGCCTCGTGGGAGAAAAGGTAGCAAAATTACTTTTCCTGAAATTTAATATGCTCCTTTTGAACTTTGACTACTAGATTAAAACACTGTATAATTTATAAAAGGAAATTTAAGCTTATTTATTGTTATTCCTAACATTCGCTTTCGCACATTCGCATTCGCGAAAGTGAAAAATGTGACATTCGAAACAACCGTAGTACACATATTCAAAAACAAAATGCTTAAATCACAAACCCAAAAGTCAAGGTAGTTTTTAAAATTTTCTAAAAATACAGTGTAGTCCTTTCAAAATAGACTCGCTTAAGATGGAAACTCTGTTATTATAGACCTATTTGTAAAGTCCCAGTTCAAATATATGAAATAAAACTCGGTTATGACGGACTCCGCTTATAATGGACAAAATACCGGGTTTTGTTCATTATAACCGGGGCTGTCAAGGCCAAATTAAAAAAAAAAAAAAAAAATCTCTGCAGTAAACAAAGTTCGGTAATTCCCCGAATTCATTAAAGAGAAGCAACCGTTTCTGCAACAGAAAATGTCTATATACCTCAACAAAGTTCATTGGTTTACCGAAATCTGTGAAAATAGGCAATCAGCTTCTGCGGTAGATTGTAAGTGACAGTTGGTTTTTGATCTGGAAAAATGGCATTTACCTTGCATGAAAAGTATACAGTTTTGTATTTATACATGTACATACATTATTTCTTTATTACTTAAAAATATTATATTCTACACTCGGTTATAATGGACAATTTGACGCGGTCACGTGGAGTCCATTATAACCGGATTGCACTGTATATAAAAATACGAGGGGCACTTAATAAGTCTTTAAACCAGCGAAAAAAAAAGAAACAAGTTCTCTCGTACGACTTACGTATGAGGCGTTTTTCGTCAACTGCAGCACCCTCTGCAAAATTGGTCCGGGTAAAAAAGTCACATTACATTCTTCAAAATTTGGTATAAAATGTTTACTTTTCGATGATGAGTGGCATTTTTTGAAATCCAATATGCCAAACAGAGTTTTGAAAATGATTGAAATAACTTGAAACTCGTTATTCGGGGGTTTTGGGGGTAGGTGATAAGGAATATAATTATGAATTTATAAACTCCAAAATGGCGGATATGTTTTCACAATTCTTTCATCCGCTCTCCAAAATTGGTTTGGGTAAAAAAATCCGTTACATTCTGGGAAATTCGGTAAAAATCTTTACTTTACGATGATAAGTTACCGTTTTGAAATCTAATATTGCGGACAAAAATTTGTAAAATGATTGGATGCAGTTGAAATTTGATGCTCGGAGTTTCTGGGGTCGCCTGATATACACTTTTCCATAAGCCGTGATTCTCAAAAACATGGATTTTGAACGCGTCAAAAGCTTGTTCTGGCGATGAAAATCGTTAATTGCGGAGTATAGGAGGAAACAGAAAACAAATCAGGACTGTACGGCCATCAATTCGATGTTTTGAGTGGTAAAAAAAAAATTATTTGTTACGATTTGTGATAGCTCGAATTCGCTTAATTAAAAACCATTTATATTATTTCTACGTTTTTTTTCTCCATCCGTCCACAACAAAAAGCGCGCTCGTACTGTAAAACTTTCTGAGTCAGACATACATATGTAGGGGTTGAAAGAACAAAATAATTATTTAGTTCTCTTCGTAGGTAACTTTTTAAATTTTAATATCTTTACTGCTACCATGTTTCAATTACACTGTACGGCAAAATCAACTTTTTTTCTGGGTATTGAACTAAACCATTTTTTTAAGAGATTGAGTCATAGGTAAAAGAGTAATTGCGAAATAGGACCTTTGGTAAAAAATCATATTTAATTATTGCATAAAAATAATTAAAACTAAAAATATAGACGTAATTAACCTTTTGCTCTTATTTAAATGGTATATAACTTTTTTTGTGCAAACTTATATTACAGGTGCTATAAGGGGTCAAAGTTCAGGTCTTCGAAAAATTAAATTCCTTATATTTCAAACAATTTCGAACTGATTTAAAAAAATATTACATCGTTGTAAAGGTGATTAAACACCCTTTCTTTCGATATGCATATTTGTATACTTCGTATATAAAAATTTTAGAAAAAACACATTTAAATGAAAAAATACCTTTTTTATAAAAAAAATATCTTAAATAAAAAAATTCCAACCGATCTTTAAAAAATTGGGATCGTTGTAAAGACGATTAAATCCCCTGTCTTCTGATATGCACATTTGTATACTTCGTATAAAAAACTTTGAGAAAAACACTTAAAAGGAAAAAATACTTATCAAACAAAAAATACTAGCCCATTTTTAAAAAATTGGTATCGTTGTAACGGCGATTAAGCCCCTTTCATCCGAAATGCATATTTGTATACTTCGTATAGAAAAATTTGAGAAAAACCATATTAAAGGAAAAAACAATTTTTTTTTATCAAAACAAAAAAAAATTATTTAAACAAAAATATTACTCGCCGATTTTTAAACAATTGGTACCGTTGTAAAGGCGATTAAACCGGCTTTCTTCTGATATGTGTATTTGTACACTTCGTATATAAAAATTTGAGAAACACTTAAAAGGAAAAAAATACCAATTTTTTCTTATAAAAAATATTTTAAACCAAAAATTACTAATTAGCAATACAATTGAATACTTTATTTAAATAAAACAGAAAATTATCTTTAATTTTTATACATATATAACCTATTATGTAAAAAATCAAAAATCATGGTGTTTTTATATTTTTATATGCCTTAGACTTCTGTTACTTTGCTTTATTTTTAACAGGGCTGTGGGTGAACAAGAACGAATTAACGCTTAAAACAATATAAATTATATGCTTTATTTAAATACGGTATTCAATTGTATTACTAATTAGTAATTATTTTTTTATATGAAAAAATTGGTATATTTTTCCTTTTAAGTTAAGTGGAACTGGCTGTGCTCTATTGTTTTGTATGCATTTGCAACAATTCAAAAATATTCGAATCCAAAATTTTTATACCCGATCGCAATTGTGCACAAGGGTATATTAACTTTGTTCACATAACAGTTGTTTGTAACAGCCAAAACGAATCGAGATAGATTTAGACATATGTATACATAATTGCTCAAAATGTATAGAGAAGTCGATTAAGCCATGTCTGTCTGTCCGTTCGTCCGTGTACACGATAACTCGAGCCAAAAATTTTGTATGTAGGTATCCATTTATCCAAGGTAGGTTGGTATTGAAAATGGGCGAAATCAGACTGTAACCACGCCCACATCCCATGTAACGGTATTTTCGAAAAATGCAAGAACTGCGATATTTCAGTTAATATTGGATGCAAATTGTTGAAAATTAGTATGTGAAGAAGAATTGTGGCAAAAAATAATATAATTATGAAATTTTTGCAAACTTATGATGACATGCTGTGTCCCAATAGCCGCTTCACCAATCCTTACCAAACTCGGAAGAGCCTTGCCTAGCTTCTAGCTAAGAAATCTGTTTTACAGAAACACGAAAACTGCCATAAATCAGCAACTACTAAGGCTAATTCACTTAAAATCGATGATTGCAATCACCACTTAGCTGAAAATTAGATTATTATAAATTTTTGGATNCGTATATAAAAATTTGAGAAACACTTAAAAGGAAAAAAATACCAATTTTTTCTTATAAAAAATATTTTAAACCAAAAATTACTAATTAGCAATACAATTGAATACTTTATTTAAATAAAACAGAAAATTATCTTTAATTTTTATACATATATAACCTATTATGTAAAAAATCAAAAATCATGGTGTTTTTATATTTTTATATGCCTTAGACTTCTGTTACTTTGCTTTATTTTTAACAGGGCTGTGGGTGAACAAGAACGAATTAACGCTTAAAACAATATAAATTATATGCTTTATTTAAATACGGTATTCAATTGTATTACTAATTAGTAATTATTTTTTTATATGAAAAAATTGGTATATTTTTCCTTTTAAGTTAAGTGGAACTGGCTGTGCTCTATTGTTTTGTATGCATTTGCAACAATTCAAAAATATTCGAATCCAAAATTTTTATACCCGATCGCAATTGTGCACAAGGGTATATTAACTTTGTTCACATAACAGTTGTTTGTAACAGCCAAAACGAATCGAGATAGATTTAGACATATGTATACATAATTGCTCAAAATGTATAGAGAAGTCGATTAAGCCATGTCTGTCTGTCCGTTCGTCCGTGTACACGATAACTCGAGCCAAAAATTTTGTATGTAGGTATCCATTTATCCAAGGTAGGTTGGTATTGAAAATGGGCGAAATCAGACTGTAACCACGCCCACATCCCATGTAACGGTATTTTCGAAAAATGCAAGAACTGCGATATTTCAGTTAATATTGGATGCAAATTGTTGAAAATTAGTATGTGAAGAAGAATTGTGGCAAAAAATAATATAATTATGAAATTTTTGCAAACTTATGATGACATGCTGTGTCCCAATAGCCGCTTCACCAATCCTTACCAAACTCGGAAGAGCCTTGCCTAGCTTCTAGCTAAGAAATCTGTTTTACAGAAACACGAAAACTGCCATAAATCAGCAACTACTAAGGCTA